TGCAGGAGGAGGAGCTGATGGAGGAAGACGACATCCCCCTGCGCAGCTTCTTTCCCGAGAACTGGCTATGGAGACTGGAGAGAGTGGACGGCTCCAAGACGTGAGGGCGCGCGGGCGCGCGCGCGGGGGTGTGGCGTGGGTGCACATGCGCTGGACTCACCCCTGGTCGCGTGGGGAGCCGGCCCGAGTGTGACCTGCCTCTCCCTTCTCCTGGACAGCGTGCCCCAGTTTCTCCCCGACTCGCTGACCACGTGGGAGATCCATGGAGTGAGCCTGTCCCCGCGCACCGGTGAGTCCCCCTTTGTCCCCAGGCCTTGGCTCTTGGTATGGGCGAGGGTGCGGAGAGCTGGGGGTGTCTCTACTCCTCGGAGTGGCACCGGGCCACTCCGGCCGGCCCTCCGTGCAGGGACCCGACACCTCTGAGCTCCCTCGGCCCCCTCCTCCCGCCAGGCCTGTGTGTGGCCAAGCCCGCGCGGCTGCGCGTGTTCCGAGACTTCCACATGCACCTGCGCCTGCCGCCGGCAGTGCGCCGCTTCGAGCAGCTGGAGCTGCGGCCGGTGCTCTACAACTACCTGGAGGAAGACCTGACCGTGAGGGCAGGGCCTGGGACAGGGAGGGGGCAGCCCCCCTGGGTGGGGCTCTCACCCTCATCCAGCCTCCTTCCTGCCCACCAGGTGAGCGTCCACGTGGCCCCAGTGGAGGGGCTGTGCCTGGCAGGGGGCGGGGGACTGGCCCAGCAGGTGCTGGTGCCCGCCCGCTCCGCCCGGCCTGTAGCCTTCTCTGTGGTGCCCACCTCATCTGCTGACATATCCTTGAAGGTCGTGGCCAGGGGGGCCCTCTTGGGGGATGCAGTGTCTAAGATTCTGAAAATTGAGGTGAATAGCGCCCCCTCATGCTGGCCAGGGGAAGGAGCCCACCCCCAAGCCCCCTGTTTGGCCCCACCCTGCCCCTGAAAGTCCAAGTCCAAGTCCTGGGGAGGCCACACCTGGAGGGGGCAGGCTCTGAGTGCTCTGTGGCCCCTCACGGCTGGCTTCTCCTGAGACAGAAGGAAGGGGCCATCTTCAGGGAAGAGCTGACCTACGAACTCAACCCCCTGAGTGAGTGGCCCCTCCCACCCCAGCCACCCCTCACAGCCCGCAAGTTCCTAAAGGGGGTCGGGGGGGTTGGCAGGGGATGTGGACGGCGTGGCGGCTGCCAACTCCTCCCTCTTCCCAGACAACCTAGCCCGCACCTTGGAAATCCCTGGCAACTCGGATCCCAACGTCATCCCTGATGGGGATTTCAGCAGCTTTGTCAGGGTCACAGGTAGGAGTGTCCTCCAGTCCCTGCCCAGGGCCCTCGCCGGGGTCCCGGGCCTACTCGCTGACCCTCACCCTCTCCTCCCTCCAGCCTCAGATCCACTGGACACTTTAGGCTCTGGGGGGGCCTTGTCCCCAGGAGGCCTGACCTCCCTGCTGAGGCTGCCCCAGGGCTGCGGGGAGCAAACCATGACCCTCTTGGCCCCCACACTGGCTGCTTCCCGCTACCTGGACAGGACGGAGCAGTGGAGCATGCTGCCCCCTGAGACCAAGGACCATGCCGTGGATCTGATCCAGAAAGGTGCTGGCCGGAGGGCAAGTGGGAGTTGGGGGTCTGGGGCTTAACTGATGGGAGATGGGAGACTTGGAGGCTGGAACGGGGAGAATGGGGGCACCCTATGGGCTGGGGGACCGTAGGAGGGTGGTTTTGGCCCCAGCAGCTGCCTCTTCTGTCCAGGCTATATGCGGATCCAGACATTCCGAAAGGCAGATGGTTCCTACGGAGCGTGGATACACCGGCACAGCAGCACCTGGTGAGGCCTGGGGGCTGATGGGTTGGGAGGGCCAGTGGTACGGGGGGAACAGGGACACGGCCCCTCCAGAGACCTGTCTCTACTCAGCCGCCTCTCCTGCCCTCCAGGCTCACAGCCTTTGTGCTGAAGGTACTGAGCTTAGCCCAGGAGCAGGTGGGTGGCTCGCAAGACAAGCTGCAGGAGACGGCCAGGTGGCTCCTGACCCAGCAACTGGCTGATGGTTCCTTCCGGGACCCCTATCCCGTGCTCCACAGAGAAATGCAGGTGCGGGTCGGGGAGGCAGGGCTGGGGAGCTCTCCGGGAGTGGGGGGACATCCTCTGAAGGCTTCTTCTCTCCCTGCTCCAGGGGGGCTTGGTGGGCAATGATGAGACCGAGGCGCTCACAGCCTTCGTGGTCATCGCCCTGCATCGCGGGCTGGTCAACCTCCAGGACGGGACTGTCAAGGACTTGAAGCAGAGAGTGGTGAGGACAGCAGTGCCCACCCCCTCGCTGCCCCCAGGCCCCCCCCCCACTCCTCTCCCCAAAGCCCGAGACCACCCCCCTCTCTTTCTTCTAGGAAACTGCTATCTCAAGCGCAAACTCGTTCCTGGGGAAGCAAGCCAGTGCCGGGCTCCTGGGCGCGCACGCGGCTGCCATCACCGCCTATGCCCTGACCCTATCCCAGGCCCCCCAGGACCTGCAGGACGTGGCTCACAACAACCTGATGGCCATGGTCCAGGAGGCCGGTGGTGAGCAGCGCGGGGTGCTGGCCGGCCCTAGCGTGTCCCCCAAAGAAGGGGTGCGATGAGGAGGCTGGGAAGAAACTCAAGTGCGTAGGCAGGGGCGAGTGGAGCAGAGCCCGGGGGCGCCTGCAGGCCAGCAGGCTGCTCGGTGGCGCCCCATCTGCCGGTGGTCTCCTTCACTGCAGAGAACCTGTTCTGGGGCGCTGTTGGGGGCTCTCAGGACAACGCCGTGTCGCCCACCCTGGCTCCTCGCAGCCCGTCCGAACCCGTGCCTCAGGCCCCGGCCCTGTGGATCGAAACGACCGCCTATGGCCTGCTGCACCTGCTGCTTCGAGAGGGCAAGGCCGAGATGGCCGAACAGGTTGCAGCCTGGCTCACCCACCAGGCCAGCTTCCAGGGGGGCTTCCGCAGCACCCAGGTAGGGCAGGGGCTGCCTCGAGAGTCTCCAGTGGGGGGTGGGCCTGAGACTGACCACTGAGTCCTGATGGCCCTCCCAGGACACGGTCATCGCCCTGGACGCCCTGTCTGAATACTGGATCGCCTCCCACACCACCGAGGAGAAGGAGCTCAACGTGACCCTCAGCTCCACCGGCCGCAACGGCTTCAAGTCCCACTCGCTCCACCTGCACAACCACCAAGTGCGGGGCCTGGAGGAGGAGCTGCAGGTGACCTCCGCCCCCCCAGGGTTGACAGCACACCTGGGCCTGTGGGAGCCATGTCCGCCCCCCTACCCCGCCGACTCCCCCAACCCCTCTTCTTCCTGAAGGAGGGGGACGGGGGAGCTCCCTCCCCACCGAGTTGGGCTCCTCTCAGTGGGGAGAGTGTCTGCCGAGAGAGATGGAGGAGGCCGGGCACGTGGCACACGGGACCCGTGACGTGGAGCAAGGAGAGGGGGCTGGTTTTAGGGGGGGCTGGTTTTAGGGAGGAGACAAGTGGCAGCAACAAATGTGTGTGTCCCTCTAACAAACGCCTCTCACCTGTGTCTGCCCCGGCAGTTTTCCCTGGGCAGCAAGATCAGTGTGCAGGTGGGAGGAAACAGCAAAGGCACCATGAAGGTGAGAGCCTCAGGGTCAGGCGGGGCCAGGCCAAGGGTCTTGGGGGAGAACTGTGCTCAGAGCTCAGGGGTGGGGAAGGAGGAAGACACTCACAGAGGTGGGGGGGGGGGAAGGTTGTCTCCCTCTTCACTCTGGTCTCCGCATCTCCGGAGTCTGCTGAACGCTCCTGGCTCTCACCCCCGGACCCCCAGCCTAGACACCCCCTGGCGCCGAGCCCCAGGCCCCAGACACAGAGCCTCCTCAGCCCCATCCTCTTCCCTTCTGGCCCCCTCAGGCTGACAGGAGCTCCTTCCGCTAGGGGCCCAGCCACCCCTCTGGGGCCACCCCAGTCTCTCCTCTTCTGAGCCCCCCCTTTTTGTGCTGGTCACTTGTCCTAGGCAATCTGGCTGTGCCCAGCGCCATCACTGTGCCCCGGGCTCTATGCTGAGGCGGCAGTGTAACTCCCTTCACCCTGCCCACTCCGTCACAGCACCCAGGCGGGTCTGGAAACCGTCAGTTTAGCCTTGCTACCAACTGAGAGCCCTTCCACGGGCCGGTGCCCCCTCCCTGTCAGCCAGGCCCAGGCCCACTACCTTGTCTGCGCAGACCCTACCTTGAGTGCCGTCCACTGCTCCTGCCCTCTGGGTGCCCTGGCCTTCTCACCTCCCAGGCCCTCTGCCTCACCCAGCGGGGCTGGTTCCCAGTGCCCATGCGCATGGAAGGGCTGGTTGCTAGTGGTCAAGCCGCAGCCCCATGTCCAGGAGAACGGACACCGCCGGCTCCCGCCGTCCCCAGGGGTCCTTATGTGCGAGCCGTGGCGGCAGCCACCCTGCCAGTCCACCTGGTTGAGGGCCTTCCCCTTTGTCACTGCCCACTTTACCAAGCGTGATGGAGGCAGGGGCCCCTCACTGTGGCTCGGGGAGGGCCCGGGGCTCCAAAGGTCCCACGTCCTTCCCTGCCCACCCGCCTTGCCGAGCCAGGTCCTTCGCACCTACAACATCCTGAACATGAAGAACACGACCTGCCAGGACCTGCGGATTGACGTGACGGTCAAGGGCCACGTGGAGTACACCAGTGAGTGGGGGGCCTGGGGGATTCGGGCTGAGTGGCGGCCGGGCCCCTCTCACCAAGCCATCCCCGACAGTGGAAGCCAATGAGGACTACGAGGACTACGAGGACTATGGCGAGCCTCCATCCAAGGATGACCCAGGTGCCCAGGCGCTGCCCATAACGCCCCTGCAGTTGTTTGAGGGCCGCAGGAACCGCCGCAGGAGGGAGGCGCCCAAGGCAGGCGAGGAGTCGGAAACGCGAGTGCAGTACACGGTGTGCATCTGGTGAGCTGGGGCTGCAGGGCCTGCGGTGGGGGACGGGGGGCCGAGGTGCTGCTGGACCCCCGTCAGTAGGTTCAACCCTGCTCATCGAGCACCCCCCTCTCCGCAGGCGGGACGGCAAGGCAGGCCTCTTCGGGATGGCCATCGCTGACATCACCCTCCTAAGTGGCTTTCACGCCCTGAGGGCTGACCTGGAGAAGGTATGGGCAGCCACCCAGGGGGACCCCTGTCACCAGCAGCCCTGCCTCACCCTCACAGCACCCCACCCAGGGGCTGGGCCTGGCCAGGCCCACCTGCCTATCACCGTCTCCCTGTCTCCGCAGCTGACCTCCCTCTCTGACCGCTACGTGAGTCACTTTGAAACCGAAGGCCCGCACGTCCTGCTGTATTTCGACTCGGTGAGTGGGGAGAGGCCACGCCGAGGGGCCGCGGGCTGTGGTCATTGCGCCAACGTTGGGCGGGGTCTTGGGCGCTGAGGCTAGGCCGCAATTGAGCGGACAGGAGAAGAGAGCAACACGGCAGTGGTCAGTGGGAGCCAGCCCGGAGCTCTGGCCAGGCCAACCCCACAGGAAGTGACCTGGGGCCCCGGCCACGGCAGGAGGGCAGGTCCGTTGGCAGCAGAGGGGCAGTGAGGGCTTCAGAATGAGCCTTTCCCAAGGCTGGTTCTATTCCACTCAGGTCAAACCCTGTGCTCCTGACTACCACTCACCTCAAGGTTCGGGGTTCGGAGCCACTGACCGGCTCCACTACGCAAAGGCCTCCATAAAGAATAAACTCGGTGTATTAGTCTAGGTACTATGGAGAAACAAATCCACAGCGACTCATGTATAAGAGAGAGTTTTATGTAAAGAAAATGTGCATCACGAAAACATCCCAACCCAATGCTGCCCAAGCCCACA